CCTCCTGCCTCAGCCTCCCAAGTGCTGGGATTACAGGCGTGCACCACCACACCTGGTGAGAAATATTTTCATTAGCCTTCAGTGAGCAATGGAAATAAAGGTTGCCACCATGATAGCGGCTGTGACTAATGTGACTTTAGAGGAACAGCCTGAAAAGTGAGACACAGCGAAATGAGGTTTTGTCTGAATAGCACGGATGTGCACTATTCTTTTTTTATTTACTGTTACCCCCGCCTATTTTCCAAAAGGAGTGTGGGGAATAAAACAGTGGATCAAAGTACACACATGAGATACCTGCACATGAATACCCTCTCCCCTAAAATACATGTACCTTAAGCGAAGTCCCATTTACCCAGGCTAAGGGACTATCCCGATGGCCCAAGTCCCCACTGTGCTCCCAAATGCCAAGTGTGGTCTTTTGCCCAAACCGGTGCCCACATCCAGACGCGCTTTCCCTGCACTTGCCAACACAAAGTAGCACCCAACACTCAGTTGCCCACCTTCTGGCTATTTTACTTTTTTTCTGTGTCCTTCCTTTTTTTTAAACAAAGCTAACCTAAACTATTGTTGCCTAAATGCTAAAATGTTTATGATGCTTCTTAAAACAGCAGATTCCAAGCATTATATCTGCTATCCTTGAGGTCCAGGCCAAGTGTGTGTGGACCAGGACACACATAAACACAGGGAACCAAGGCAAGATGCGGCCGCCCCCCATGGTCATCAGCGGGTGTCTCTGTTCATGTGGGAGATTCCTGGCAGCTGCCACCTTGTATGTTTGTACAGCTCCTGGACACGGCAGGGGTGCTGCGTGGAGAACAGGTTACAGTAGCTTCCTGTTTTATTCTTAGCAATGTAGCCAAACACAAGCCGTCTCTTTTCTTAGGGGAGATTCTTTATTTCCGGTCTGGAGGACTCAAATTAAAAGAAGTCATCTTTACCAGAAAGGAAATGTAAATACCACAGAGCAAGGGGCCAGGACAGTCACAATTTAAAGATGCTAAGTTTAGTGTTACAGGTATAAGTACCTTGGAGGTAAGTACATCTGAGCAGGAGAAATGTAATAATAGTTCAGCCACGATTATCTTACAAGCTCCCAAATTCCCTGTGGTTTGAGTCATAGTTCTAAGTTTTATGACTACTAAAGGGCACAAGGTTTAGATGTAATTCACATGCGATTTGCATTAGTACCAGGTATGTTAACCTTAGCTAGGCTGTTTCTTAGCAACAGTCAGGTGTGAGCCCATTGAAAGCATCTTTCCATGGGAACCCTGAAAAAAAATTTAGAGGAGAATACTAAACTACTGCCTTTCTGACCAACAACAGGGTTCAAACTTAGAGAAAAGAGACAAAGCTCCGATGATGATCTTCTTACCTGACCAAAATCAGTAACTAGGAGGCTCACTGGACAGATGTCTAAGACTAAGACCTCCAAACATGCTCATTATGAAGTCCAAGACTTTAAATTTGATCTGCTGAGAAGTGACTGTTAAAATATGCCATCAAGAAAGTAGACTTCTTTCAAGAAGTCACATTCTTAAGAAGTAAACCATATTTTATCCAAAGATCTTCCAAGTTCTAAAGTTTCCAGTCCTAATATTTATAGTAGACCACTGTCATGGCACTATCATTAGAGTTTTCATGTATGTCCTTGAACTTCAAAACGGAGCCTTTTGCTCTGCAGCGAGCCATTTACTTACAGAAGCAGACTTTACTTGGTCTCCTACAGTGGCTTTTGCCACTCAACAAGATTGCTGAGGTCCTCTGTGCATATTTCCTTGGAAAAGGGACAGTATCAACCTTTGATTCTAGGAAATACTGAAAAGAATTCAAGGTAGTGTTTTGCTCTGATGAGCTCTCTACCATGAGGCAGCTGGAATAACAGCTTCCAAGTAACTATCAGCCCTCTTTGGTTTCTCATCGCATGATCCTTTGGAGAGTTTCACATTTTCCTGACAGTGAAAAAGAGCAGTTCCTCTGTTGAGATGTATAGGTAGCAGACACCCTCTGAGAAAATTATGATATATACTCATAAAGATACTTCAGCAGAAATGCCACGGTGTGAGATAAACACAGTAGCTAAAATAAATATTGTGTAAACAACACAAAACTAAGAGCACCAAAGGTATAATCTCTTAGGCTTCATAAGCCAGATGGTAGCACAGGTTCTAGTAGCTGATGACTTGGTAAAGAAAACACACAGTCAGCTGCTGTGTACCGATGCCACCCAAGCAGGCAGGCACACAGCGCTGTCTCCCACGGCCTTGCGCCTGATTTTCATGCCTTGGTTTATGAACCAGTTATGCCATGGCAAGGGAAATGATAACTTGGAGTCTCTAACCAAGTCCAATTGGACCCAGAGGCTCACGCACAATGAAAATCTTTTTGTCCAAACCTGAGAGGGTGGCGGGAATGCTTTTTTGTTCAGATAGACACCATTTCCTCTTAGACCCTTTCTCGGAAATACTTACGAAGCAGATGCCATTCATCTTGCTGAATTGTCTTGGTTAAATTGAAAGGAATGTTTCGTAAGCGGATTGGCTGAGAAAAGTGGTACTTGATGGCTGTGCATCGCTGCGCAATACCTTGAAGGAAATAAGAAATGAGATTTACTAGTCTGTTCATTTGTAATGGAATTCTGGAGACCTAAGGCAGAATAATTTACCCTACACTGACTGAATGGGAGAGGGGATAGAAATCTCTTGATTACTCTCATTAACAGAGGCAAGTCAGAGCAGTGAAAATCTAGAAGACGGAATACTTTTTAAAATCATGTTTCATTTTTTAAATTTTATAAGGCTCTATATATTCCCGTAAATGTTCTTCAATATAGAGTTTGTCTGAACTAAACAAAAAAACCATGCAAGGAGAGATGGCCTAAAAGTGTACAGATGTTTGGGAGAAATCAGTTTAGAATTTTAAAATTAACACATAAATTACAGTTCTAAATTTAACCTAGTCTCAAACTCTCAAATGAGTTGATCAAAAAGTTTATTAGGGAACTCTGGGAGGCTGAGGCATAAGGATCACAAGTTTGAGTCCAGCCTGGGCAAGTTAGTAAATTAGCAATACCCTATCTCAGTGAAATAAAAAGAGATGTAACCATAGTGCTGTGTAAAAGCCCCGTGACTCCATCCTTAGTACCAAAATTTTTTTTCATTAGGAAGTATGTTATTCAGACACCAGAAAACAGTTTTCCAAAAAGGCTTCATTTACAATGTAGGGTTAGGTGGCGATTTTATCTCCAGACAAGATTGGGTCTATTTAACCCATCAGAGGCTGATAGTATTCCTTAATTTGAATGTTACTGACTTTAATTATGGCTCTTGAGTGAAAGGGTAATGTTGAAACTAGAGAGGACAAAGAGAAAAAAAATTTTTTTCCTCCCTTTATCTGGTTGCATGGCCAGCCCTAGGCACAATATTTTCATTGGGCAAGCATACCCATCGGTTTAATATCCTCATTCATAGCCCATGCTTTTATTGCAGAAATAAATGCAAACCTATTATTCTTCTAAAGCCTTCTAGATCCCATGAAAGGTATCAACCTTTCCTAAACAACAAACAAAAAATCCCTTTCATATTGTAAATCATCTTGGCCAGTTGTTTGAATAAATGCAATTTCATTAAACTAATTTTGAAAAAAGTGTGAAGGAGTGTTCTTTAACCCCAGCAGCTGTCAAGAAAAGTATCCTGAGAGATGCAAATAAATCTCTAATTAGTGGAATTTTTGTAAATGTTAAAGTGAAGTGAAAATTTGAAAAGATCAGACAATAAAGGGAGGAGATTAGTATTCAAGACACAAACAGGTTGAAAGTAAAGGATAGGAGAAAATATACCACAAAGAGTAATCAAAAGAGAGATGGTATAGCTATATTAATATCAGCTAAAACTGACTTTAAGACAAGTATTATCACTAGAGACAAAGAAAAATGTTTTTAATGGTAAAGGGCCAATGCAATAAGAAGATAATATAAACATATGTTTATCTATCAACACAATCCCAAAATACATGCAGCAAAAACTGAAAGAACTGAAAGGAGAAACAGACAATGTGGCAATATTTGTGGCAGAATTCAATAACCTACTTTCAGTGACAGTAGAACAAGTAAACAGAGGAGACGAACAATACTATAAACCAACTAGACACAGTAGACATCTATAGAATACTCTACCCAACAATGTCAGAATAAACATTCTTCTGTGCACAAAGAACATTCTCCAGGACAGACCATGTGCTAGACAATAAACCAAATCTCAAGAAATTAATGAGTATTAAATTCACACAAAATATATTCTCTTGCTACAATGTAATGATTACAAATCAATAACAGCAGAAAATTTGGGAAATTCACAATCATGCAAATTAACTACCGTATTCCTAAATAAGTGACAGTTAAAGAAGATATCACAAAAGCAAACAAAAAATGCTTTGAAATTAATGGAAACAAATTTACAACACACTAAAATATGTAGGATTCAGCTAAAGGATGTCTTAGAGGGAAATTTATAGCTGTAATGATCTCAAGTCAATAACCTAACTTCCTACTCTAAGGAAAAAACTAAATCCAGAGCAAAAGAAAAACATTATAAAAGTAAATATAAATCAGAGAACAGATATAGACAGAAAATGAACAAAATCAAAAATTGGTTCTTTGAAATTACCACAACTGAGGCATCTTTAGCTAAACTTTCCAAGATAAAAAGAAAGAAGATTGCTGGGCATAGTGGTGCATGCCTGTAATCCCAGCACTTGGGAGGCTGAGGCAAGAGGATCACTGAGAGTTCAAGACCAGCCTGGGCTACAACATGAGCTCAAGGCCAGCCTGAACTGCATAGTGAGACCCTGTCTCAAAAAAAAAAAAAGAAGAAGAAGAAGAAGATTGAAGTTACTAAAATAAAGGCTGTCACTAACAATCTTAGAGAAATAAAAAGAAGTAAATAAGAGAATATTGCAAAAAGTTATATGCCAACAAATTAAGATAGATGGAATCAACAAATTTCTAAAAAGACACAAACTCTAAGCATGACTCAAGAAGTAACAGACAATCTGAATATAACAAGTAAAGAGATTGAGTTAGTAATCAACTTAGTAAAAATTTCCCACAAAGAAAAGACCAGATGGCTTTGGTGGTGAGTTTTATCAAATGTTTAGAGAAGATTTAACAATTCTTCATAAATTCTTCAAAAAGAAAAATTTAAAAAGAAAAAGAAATAGAAGATGAGTGATTATGATCTAAGTCAATTTATGAGGCCTGTATTTCCCTGATATAGAACCAGATATAACAAAAAGGAAATTATATAATATTTCTTGTGAATATTCATGTAAAAATCCTTAACATAATATGAGCAAACTGAATTCAGCAACATTTTTAAAAATTCCTACATCATGAACAAGTGAGATTTATCTCAGGAATGCAAAATTGGTTTAATATATGTTAAAGTAATTACTGACATCAACCAATATGGAGGGTATGTCTAGAGGACTGAAACCACCTAATCATCTCAAAGACAGAGAAAATGCATTTTACAAAATCCTTTAAAGCCAGGCATGGTGGTGTACACCTGTATTTCCAGCACTTGGGAGGCTGAGGTGGTAGAATCACGGTGAGTTTGAAGTCAGCCTGAAGTACATAGCAAGATCCTATGGTTTTCAAAAGAACCAAAAAATATATATATATATATATATCTCCATTTAATACTCATCAATGACACTTTGAGCTATATTACTATTACTGCCACTATACAAACAAACACATCTGAAGCTCAGAAAGGTTAAGTAATTAGCCTGGGGCCATAGTACTAAGTAACAATCAAGCTTCAACATATATGCTGTTACACAAACTTTGCATACTAGTCATTCAGGAAAGTTAGAAATCCTTAATCTTTTAGAGATCTATCTTAATTTTGTAGGTAAAGCTATAGTTCTAAAATGTACTATTCATTTGAAATAGAAAATAACTTTTCTAGTTTTGCAACAACGTGTATTCTTTCAGAAACAAAGCAGATTCCTAATGAAGTGTTCTGCTTGTATATTATCTGCACCCTTCCACATACAGTATTTGGAGACTGGATTAGCTGCACAGTTGACTTAACGGCTTCACCCCATCTGCATCTCACAGAAGATGCTTAATGCTGGAGATGAGGTTGAACTGAGGAGAAACAGTAATCATAACACTCAGAGGAGCACAACTTCTGTGCTAGGGAAATGTGCGGCCCCTTTCAAATACGTGCAAATATTCCTGGGGCTCATTTCCTCCTTGGCCCTCGCTGGTAACTGGCAGGATCGCAGCAGGCAGGGAGCACAGCAAGAAGAAGGCAGACAGCTGGCCCCATGTTCTCCTACTCTCCGGGGAAATCTCCCCGTGCCAGGGATGAGGTAAGCAGTGCACCACACATCACCAAATGGCCTTTCCTTCCCCCTCGGAGTCTCAGGCTAAGCTTCAAGTGCCAAGAACTGTGAAGTGAGAAGAGAACGCACATGAGGAAAGTGGGCAGTAGACAGTAGCAGGCAGCACTCAAGGATCCCAAAGACAGGGGCGGGGGTCTGGCGGTGAACCCAGAGCTCCTCGGCTGAGTCTGCAAGACAATGTCCATGGCCCAGGGTTCTCCTCCTTGAAAAATGATCTGAGACTTCAGCAGAACTAGAAGAGAAGGTGGGAGTAAAACGCAAAATCATCAGCAGTGTCAGGGACCAGCCATTAGCTTTTTATGTCCTTGTTCTTCAACACTGGTTCCACTGTCATTGCAGAAAGGCAAATAGACTCGAAGAGGAAAGCATGTAATCAAGGTTTGGCTTCCTACAGCACCCACGTTACACTGAGGAAATGAAACCTGACAAAAATCACACCGCAAAAGACCTGGAGCTGCTTTGTGGCTTGCCAAGGTCAAAGTAGGTCCTTTTGATGAAAAGACAGGTACACATATACAGTGCACCTGGACGGAGCAGGGAGCAGGGGACAGAGGTCCACGCAGCGTTACGCTAAGGGGTGATACTGCAAGCATCCACAAGGAGGCACTGGAGTACAGGGTTTTCAGAGCCACACAGGCAAACTTTGAAATTAACCCAGCTTTCTGGGTTTAGATAGCAATGCATCCAGTTCTCCAAAAAGGAACACAAAACACATGAGCTCATAGCACCAGATGGCATCACACAATGGGGGGAAGAAACATGCAGAGGGTTGAAAAGAACAAGTAGTGGTCTATATTTAGTGATTCATTAGCTTCTTAAAGGGCCAAGCAGAGCCACTGTAAGGATGACGTAAGTCACAGACGAAGACCTATGAATATGTTGCACAGGAGTAAGAAGAGACCTCTTGGTCTGCTGAATCCATTCTTGCCAATGCTAAGAGAGGTGATCTAGTTCCAGGGAAAGTCAGAAACCTACCCTGGAGGTTAAATGAGGGAGATACATGGAAACCAGAAGATGCCATAAAAGGTCACTATTATCAGTCAATGAAAAGGCAGCATAGGAAGGGTGATCGAAAAATACAGTAAATTTTTAAATTTAAAAATCTGATTCCAGGGGCTAGGGATTTAGCTCAGCGGCACAGTGCCTGCCTGGCAAGCATGAGGTTGTGAGTTCGATTCCTGGTACAGGAAAAAAAAAAATTTTGATTCCAGTAGAAGAGAAATTGCCATTAATCTCCTCGAGGTTCTGCCCCTCGCTTTGAACACACTTCTCCCAAGTGATTCAAAACATTGACCTCTCATGGCCACTTTGACTTTGGGAAGAGCCAAGAGCTACACGGTGCCAGACCCGGTGGGGAAGGTGAATGAAGACACACCGTAATGCTTTTGCGAGCCTGCTTTTCGCTGAATGATGAATAGCAGCAGTCATGATGGTGGGTTTTTTAAATCACATTTCATAAAGACACTCATAAAAGAGGACTTCCAGAACTGCATCAGGAAGTGTCAAGAAGGATGGGATAAGTGTGTTGGAAGCAAAAAGTATTCTGAAGAGGAGTTCATGGCAATGC